TTCTGAATGCAGGTTTTGTGGTATTATTCCTCTTCTCCATAACTGTTGTGCAAAGGTTGTTTTAGCCAAAATTTTCCAAAGGGGAAGATTGTAAGTTCTGTGATTTTTGGATTGGCTGCAATTTGGTAAACCAACATACTGTTAGTAAGATGTTAAACCAGATGTTCTGCCATGACAGTCAGACATCATGTTCTGCATGATGTTGAGACATGTTTCAGGATATGTCATACTTGGGGCATGATATTTTGGTATTTTTAGTTTGATTTTTGAGTGTGTCTTAATTCACACGTATGCGTTATCAAATGAGGCATATTGTGGGAATTTCTGTTTTGACAGATTGTGATGGTTTTTTGATAAAGGATCGTTGATCCTTTTTAGGAAACTTTGTATTTTGTTCCTATTTTTGTGCAGGAGATTGTGCTTATGATTCTAAGTTGATTTCTGATGGATTGCGCCTCAAGAGCTCAAGCCCACAAGATCTGAAGGCTACTTAAAGAAGACTTAAACCTAATGAAGATATGACTTTCACTTTTGTAAAATAAAGGACGGTTTTAGAATCTTAGGTTTTAAGAGTCGTGTTTGTGTTATTTGTATGTCACTCTTGTATCTTTTGATACATTGAGGTAGACTAACTATGTATTGTTAATTGTTCACTCTAAAGCTTTTAAGAAAGAGTGTATTGTTCTTGGTCGAAGCTTTTAAGTAAAACTGAGTATTGTCTTGGAAATGTGTTACTTCTATTGTTTGTTGTTGTTGAATTGTCATGTAATTGTGACTGATTAGGAAGTGAGAGAGGGATCTCATATCTAGAGGGTTTCTAGGTAGAAGTTGCACAAGGTAGTGATTAGGCAAGTTATAAACGGGGGAGTTTGGCTTTGAACTAATGCTATCATATTGAATTTCCTTCTTGGCTTGGATGCCCCCAAATGTAGGTGATGTTACACCGAACTTGGTTACCAATTAACTGTGTTATTTATATTTTTGTAATTTATTTTTCAGTCAGGTTTATTTGTTCCGTCAGATAGAAGATGTTGTAACATCTGTCTTGACATTATGTTCTCATGTGAGGACATCAGTATTAACAAGTGTTAGAGTGTCAAATTTTCAATTCAAACTTAACTGAGTTTTGATTTGAAAATGAGTGACAAACGTACATGTTGGACCGTTGGACCAAAACAAGAGAAATCTCCATACTCCTCTCTGAATTTGAGGAGAGGCAAGTTTAGTCAGAAAAGACTAGCAGATTTTAGTTTCTTGCCAAGAAAATACAGGATCCTTAATTTTAGGCATTTAGGAGATTGTATCTTTAAGAAAAATTGTTTAGAAAGTCTTTGTTCTAGATGGATTTTTGAAAAATTATCTTTTTAAAAAGCCCTGGTAGTTTTTAATCCATATAGCAAACTCTAGATAATGGATAAAGCTTTATTGTCGTTGTTGTTTTCGTGCAAGAGAGATATATATGAGTAGTTGATAGATAACATATGTAGAGAAAGCGGATGGCAAGTACCATGGTAATGGGCTCTATCTATTTCTCGAGTTTCTTGATATTTAATGTGACACTCTCAATTTGAGTTTTGAACAATTACTATCCTTCACTTTGCCTTGAGCAGCATATTCAATTATCTCAAATGAAAATATATGTTTAGTGGCCTCTATATTGTTAGGGCCTATCATCAGGTAGGCTAACAACTTCTCTTTCAAAATTTTAAAAAATATAAAATTATGCAGTATTATGAGTTTTATACTTTTAATTTTCAGGATACAATTAGTGTATAGCACTATACCAAAATTTGGGCTGCATTGATAGAAGGCATGAAAAGTGTGAGAAATGCGTACATAATTTGAAGGTATTGCAACCTGTTCAGTTCCCGTAGGTGAGTGCCTTGAAGATTTTGCCCTTTCAAACTTCTGTATGTTTATTTTCCATAAAAAAAATATTAAAAGAAATATGTTTCTTAGTTCGTAGACTTTAACGAAAAAATTGCAACAAGTTCTTCTACAACAAAGTTTTAAAGCTGACTTTACTATATGTCATACATAACTTTAACAAAAATTCATACGTTAGATAATATTGATTTACTTTAAAATCTTATAATTATAAGGTTCATCAATTGTATCAATATATAATAATTAAAGATAAAAATATGTCAGGTCAACTAATAGGAATCTACAATTTAGTCTACACTGACTCAAGTTAAGTTAGACTTTTTTTTAAATAAAAAAGATCTAGTCTTTTTTATAAGCCTATTTAGTTAAAAATACTAGATCAGAGACCGTAAAAAAATCTTTTAAATTTATCAAACTGACCTATTTAAATAAATATGAATAATTTTATTATTATTATTATACTATATTTGTATATTGAATTAAACTAAAAAGTAAAACTTAGTTATGTTGAATAAGTTATGAAAATAAATTTTAAAAAAAAAATTTATGATTAATTTCATAAGTTGTTTTTATAAGTTCTCTCAAACAAATAGTATTACAAATTTTATGTTAATATGTAAACTTAATAAATCAATGAAAATAAGCATATAATCTCATTATATTTTAATTTGTTAATCTATTTAAACATTGATGTAATCGTTATTTACAAATATTTAATTTTAATAGGTTTTTATGTAAGTTAATAGGACAAACAGGGCATTTGAAAAAGACAGCCTCAGGTCTAAAACTAAGTCTATGATACACCACAAGTCAGGCTTAAATTTTAAAAAATTTCGCAAGACAGACTCAAGTTTGACAAATTCTAACTCAGTCCAAATTATTTAATAAAAACATTAATTTAATGGTCGGTATAAACATATCAATTAAATTTGCTACATAGAATTAACCGATCTAACCCGTGTGTATATACATACCGCATACAATATCAACTTCTGCCTCAATATTAATGTAAATAGTAGATTGCTAATGTAAGTGAAAAAATATTCAAATCAACTTAACTAAATATAGAAGTCGTCATAGAAATGTGGTAATTATTTACATTCTTTTTAATTATTTTTGCTATAAGAAAGTAAACAATTAATATTTTGGCAATTTTGAAATGAAAAAAGTTGATTAATATTTATTTATAAAAAAAAATAAAAGTACGGGTTATTAAATATTTTATACGGATATTCAGATCAAAATGTGAACGTAGATGTTATTATATTTTTTCTATAATTAAAAAAAATAAAAATAAAAATATTAAAAATATATATATGAATCTAAACACGGATAATATATATTTATTTATGTCATTAATATTTATTTATACAATTAAAATAATATTTATAAATATTTTATTATTATTTGATATTTATAAAATTAAATAAATGCATAAATATTTTTATAAATTTTTGTAAATAATGAAAACACAAATTAAGATTTACATACGAAGAAATATATGGTTGAAGTATATATGAAAAAACTATATTTATTTTCAAATATAGATAATAATATGTTTTTTTTCAAAATAATAAACTTTATTAATTAAATAATTTTGTCTTTCTATTTTTTATTTATTAATTTTAAAAACAAATGCACGTAATTTATTAGTACTCATGCAAACAGGCAGGTATCTAGATCATAATACTGCAGAGGTACGTGTTATTGTCTTTTTTATATAATTAAAAAATTAAAAATAAATATATTTAAAATAAAATATAAATAAAAACACAGACAATATTTATATATATTTTTATGTAATCATTTCAGTAATTTATATTATTAATGACAATTATTATTTTTAAATTAATAAGTGAATTCTTTTTTTAATAAAAACTATTGTTTTTATTAAAATATTTTTATAAATAATATCAAAACAAAAATAATATTATAAAATATTTTTTTAAATAATATCAACAAAAATAATATTACATACAAAAAATAATAATATATAAAAAAATACCTTTAATCTAAATATTTATAATTTTAAAAAATTATATTTATGCTTCAAATATAAATAAAATAAAATAGAGCTCTTTTAAACATCAATTTTCGGAAAAACATCATTTTTTAATTATGAAAAGAATAATATTTTTTGGAAATAAATTGATTTTTTATATTTTTGAAAAAAATTATTTTTTTTCTTTTAGGAAACTGCTGTTTTTGTTAGTTTCTAGAATAATCGTTTATTATATTTTTGAGAAAAAATCGAAGTAATTTCGAATTTTTTGTTTTTGGAAAAAAAATGGTTACTTTTATTCTCGAAAAAAATTGACTTTTCCTTTAATTTATATGCGATGCGGATTGAATTTTATCCAATTCATTAATTGATAAATTGGACATTTCTTTATGGATAGATTAGATAGCTTTTGTGTTAGGATCCCACTGCCACACTAATATTTAACTTTACTTTTCTTTCATTTTTTTCTTAACCACCAACCAATCAAAATATTTTTACATCTTCTCATAAATCATACTTTAAAACTAGTTAGTGATATTAGCCATTCAAATATATGCAAAGGATTAAGAGGCACTTCATATTTCTAGGCCCAGAAAAATAATAAATCATGTATAATATAGATAAAATGCATTTGTTCCCTCGGTAATATTAAATGGATAAAATAATACTTCAAAATCAAACTTATAAATCACGTGACTTGATAATCTAATAATGAGGGGGAAATAAAAATGATGTACAACTTATTTTTATGATTAGAGAAAAAACCATCAACCTTCACATTATAATTTGTAAAAAGACCTTCACAATTCAACAACCAACCTTCACATATTATTTGTAAAAAGACCTTCACAGTTCAACCATTAAAGTACAGGTGTAGTCATTAAGACCAGCATTGCTAAATTATTGTCTATTGACCAAGAAAGCAATTTATACACACACCGCACACATTAAAATAGTTCATAAACTAAGAAAGACTTTTTAGTAAGCATCAGCTCATGTGTGTTTCTCTCACATCACACAATGAACGATTATTAATGACACGGGCAATACTAGCAAAACCCAAATATATTTTGTTTAAACTAGGACAGTCGCAATATAGAGGCCTTTCTTCTCATCCAGCAACTTTTCTAGGGTATGTTCTCCCAGTCGAGATCTGTGGTGCAGGTCTGAGCATGAAGTTAGGAGATTCAGAACTCCAATTGACTCCAGCCTTCATGGGAGGAGCACGGGGTTGCTCTATGGACTGTCTTCGAGTGCCAATAGACATATTGGCCAACCTCTCAGCTGTTTCTAAAGCACCACGTGTAGATCTTCCTTTGTTTATAGAAGCTGCCAACAACCAACACAACTTTCCGTAAATAAAAACACTAATTTACAGTAAAATTTTATAATGTGATTTTTCAAACTTCGTAGAAATTTCATGTGCCAAATGATGTGTGCGGTGAATTTCATGTACCAATAGACATTTGGCAGATGATGTGCCAAATGATCCTCTAGATTTTATATATTTACTCAACGTTAGGAGTGGGAATGGCATTTCAATAGAGGGAATTTGGTAGGGGCTGGAAGGGTTTGGGATGAAAGGCAGGGCCAACATATGAATCTTTAGTATTTCCAGAATTCACCTTCCGCCAGATGAAATTTCATGTGCCAAATGATGTGTGCGGTGAATTTCATGTGCCAAATGATCCTCTAGATTTTATATATTTACTCAACGTTAGGAGTGGGAATGGCATTTCAATAGAGGGAATTTGATAGGGGCTGGAAGGTTTTGGGATGAAAGGCAGGGCCAACATATGAATCTTCAGTATTTCCAGAATTCTCCCATGAAAGGTCAATGATAGAAAAGAAAATATGGTAAGTAATCAAAGAATAAATCAGACTGTAAAACTTACTTTGACTGTCCTTTCCTGGTTGTCGATACTTCAATTGTGTAGTAGTCTTCATTGATTTATCATTCTTAATGTCATCCTTCAAACATATCAGAGATATTATTGGCATGACATAGACAAGTTCAGGAAAAGAAAAGACAGGATATGTCCAGGAAAAAACAGCCCCAAAAAGGATTTAAAAAAATATTTCATGCGGGTAAAAAAGAATGTGTGCATGAACAAGTGCTTGTCAAAAAGGATGCGACAAAAATAACCCACCTGATTTACCATATCCAACTTCCGTTGCACACCTGCATCATTCATAATTGGATGAGAAATCATATGAAACTAGAAATGCTACAAGTTAAACAAGACGGCATTATGAATGCATAAAGCCAAATGGGAAAAGGCATGTTGCTCCGAGTTTACATCATTCAAAATAAAGGCCAATTTTTTGCTTATATAAAATTTTCTAGCTGGACTTCGAAATTAAGTATGAAACAGAAGTTTAGGATTAGAATTGAACCCATCAATTTCAAACTCTGTTTAAAAGCCCTTTCAGAGGAGCATATAAGGAAGAGAACGCACAAGAAGGGTTCATCACTTCTTGACCCCTCAGCTGATGCAAAACAAATCCTATTATCAACTTACTAATTTAGTCAAAATGTTAAAAAGGAACAGACAAACATCTTAATTTCGTAAATTGAACAATATAGAAATCTTTTACTATGAATGTTAATTCATTTAGGACCCTTCTGCTTTTGACTACTATGGCCTATTTTTAAATGACATTGTAATTCGTTGTTAAAATGTTAAAAAGGGGAGTTGAACTCAACCATTTACCTTTCCAACAATCATGCACATCGTCAATCCACCAAACCTACTACTACCCTTGATGGAAATAACTCATGTTTCATGCATTCATAGAACTCATCAATAAGTATGAAAAATCAATGGAATCACCTGAAGAAGGCTGTAACTTTGGAGATGGAAAATAATTGGTGAGCTTTGAGTTGGGTAAAGCACCCGGATATCTCTTGACCCCTTGCTGATCCAGTGATCCCCTAGTTCCAGGTGGAGGGGTTCTCGCTATTGCTCTGGAGCGAAGGGATGGAGGAATGTAAAAGCAACTCTACAACAAATCAAGAAGTGAGTAAAACAACTTGTAAGATCTAAAAAAATGGAATTCAGAAAAAGATAAGCAAAACATGAATCAGCTAAAAGACTACCTGGAAGAAAGGATGTTGAAGGGCCTCTAAAGCTGTTGGCCTCTTGCAGGGATCCCAAGAGCAAAGTGACTGGCATTAATAGAAAACGTGAGAACCGTCGTATTATTGGTTGACAAGTGGTTTAAATGGCTAAGCCACACAAAAAACTACTTACTTGGATAAGGCTGATTGCGTGATCACTTGCAGATGGGATCAATGCAGAAAGGTTTACGCCAGCAAGCTGTACATAGCATTAGTAAAAGGCATATATTGTTCAGTAAAAAATAAAACAACATTGTCTCACAAGATTACATTTTAACACATTAGTTAAAAAAATAACATTAAGAAGCTAAGTACTAAAATAACAGATCATATGTAGAGAATCTTAACCTGTGGAAACTGATAATTAATATCTCTCGCAAGTTTGAGTCCAACTGCCCATGATTCAGTGGTTGGACTGCCTATCACACCACATATTTTGTAGATCTCATCTGCCTCACTGCATGAACACAATGAAGGAACATGTTCATTTCCCAACATCCAGGTGTTACACAGGATTCAACTCTTTCTTCCTTTTTGCTATTGGCCTAGTGGCCAATAAATACATACTCATAAATACTTGCAAGGGAGAAATATGGAGACCCAAACCCAAATTCCACATAAAATGTCCTCAATGAGGATGGAGCCTTATTGTACTTAAAAAGCATATAAAAAACATAAGTTGTGACCATATATTTCAGTGATTAGCGAGTGCACCATAACTGATTATTCTTTAGAGCATAACTACTTTGCATTTGTTACAATTTAAGTAATGCTTTTATTTCTTTCTCATCTATTGCATGAGATTATTTTGAAAAATTGCCCTCAGATTTTTGTTTGTATACAATTATTATGGATGCATTTTACTTCCTCTTACATTTAATGCTATATTATTTTGAGAAGCTACATAAAACAGCTTTTGAAAAAAGGCTAAAAGTTGAATTCTTGTGCATATCTTTTTTTTTCAAAAAAATCAAAATCAAAATTAGTAACAAATAGTTCAATAAAATCAAGATTTTTAATTTGAAAAAATAAAAATATGCTAAATAGAAAACCCATCATTTGTAGAGAGTTGGGTGTGATAAGTGAGCCAATACCTGGCTCCTGGAAAAAGAGGTCGTAGAGAGAACAGCTCAGCCATTATAGCACCCATTGCCCACATGTCTAGAAGGGAAGAAAAAAATTAATAAATTAAACGGCAGCAAGGAAATCATAACCATAAATTACCAAATACCACAGATGACATCATTATTTAACATCAGAAACTTACCAACTTTGGCATTATAGATATAAGACTGAAGCAGCACTTCAGGAGCACGATACCTAATCAGAGGCAATCAATGATACAGTTATATGTTATTCAATATCGAATACAAAAGATGATGCATCTATTGCAAGTCAAACATGCATACCATCGTGTGGAGACATACTCAGTGTAGGGTGGTTGTGAATTGATCTCTCGGGCTAGGCCAAAATCAGCAATTTTGATAATATCGTTAGAAACCAGCAAATTTTCTGCAAATAGTAGAGCATACCTTGGGTCAAACCCACAAAAGATAAGATAGATAAATATATAATATATTCCTACCATGACCAATACCCTACTATTTCTATACATAAGAATTATAATGAAAAAAATAACAGTGATACTAAAGCCTAAGTTATTTCGCACGATATGGGAGTTAAAGTCTTAAGCCCGGCTAGAAGTATCAGAGGGGCACGGAAACCACTTTCCAACAGAGTCGCTAATCAGAGAATGAAATGCAGGAAACACATACATTACATGCTACATATAATATAATTAATGAATATTATCCATTATTTCAAAATGCATAAAACATCGAGACAATAACAAAAACACCAATAAGGTACCAGGTTTAAGGTCGCGGTGGAAGTAACCACGCTGATGCATGTAAGCCAGACCTTGGAAAACTTGAAAACACCAGTTTCTAATTTCACTTTCAGAAAACAATTTTTCCCTGTCTTTCATAAGTTGATATAGGTTGCATTCCTGTGTCACCCGAAAATTGCCAGCAGTTAATATATGAGATATTTTGCATAGGACAATTCATCCCTTCTCCACCAAAAAGATTAGAAACTCACCATGTACTCAAAAACAAAGTACAGAATGTCACTTTCTCGAATAACTTCCTTCAGTTTCACAATATTTGGGTGGTTCATTTTTCGTAAAGACTGCAAACAAATGAAACAAGAGATAAGAGACTAAATACAAAAGAATCTAATAATACACTGATACATAAGGCTCCAATACAGAAAGATAAGTATGATGCATCACCTTGACTTCTCTGAGATTTACACACTCTTCCCAAGAGTAATATTTCTTTTTCATTTTCTTGATCGCAACCTGCAATTTTGCAACTTGTTAGGATAAAAATGCAACTTCAAATAGAACACACCTTCATCATACCGATAAACCATACTTACAACTTCGCCAGCTTGCTTACTAATTGCTCTCCAGACACTCCCAAATGTTCCATCACCAACTTCCTTGATAATTTTGTACCTATAGTTTAAAGAAAAATGTTAAAATAATCAAATATACAGTATATGAGGAAACTATTAATTTCAAATTATTAATTTCTTCAAAAAAACAATATTTACCTCTCCATTTTTTCACAGAATACAAAATATGCCTTCTTTATTCAAGAAATGTAAACAAAAACAAGATAAATAGCATTTATCTCTTGTAGATGATGTTCTCCGTATAAACAAGTTCCTGCTGGTCAAGAAAACCCCAACATCAATTTTCTGTCATGTCAGAGGCGGACATAGGGCAGAAACTATCTGATGGAAGGGCTGCACGGACTTATTTGGTAATCGACCTAGGCTTTGTTCTGGTTACGGGACAAACGCGGTATAAAAGAATAAGAACGACAGAACATAGTGACACTTCAGGTCCCACCAAACTGATTGATCAATGCAATAGCATTAATCACTAGCTAATACCACTGCGACCCAAGACTTCAAAACTGAAATAGCATCTATTTCATCTATACTATAGGATTCATTTCAGAACCTTCAGGTAAATGATGTACTGTCACCAATAATTTCCATCGAGAGCTAAAAAGAGACAATTGCCAATGACTAGTCTTATATTGATTCAATGCAAATGCTTCGCTCGAAGATGCAGGCTGAATCCAATATTCAGTGACCAGACTATACTTAAGCCCTGCAAAAAAAAACATGGGCTATTAAATTTTATCAAATCAAAATAGGTTATGATGTTATAGAGGTTCTCATAAATAGACTTCTTACCGTGAAGAAAATTCCACAGAAGATTTAACTAAATGTTGGGTCAGCAATGCACTGTCAAAGGAAAATTTGTCAATAGACTAACTTTTTAATTGGTACTTTACATAAAAGAATAAGAATCAGTGCTTACTTGTACACGTGCAAGATGCAGCACCTGTATCAGAATAAACTAGCATCACGTACCCTTTGTTGATCATTGAAGGGGGACAGAACACTAAGTGCAATTGACAAAGGAAACCAGAAGAAAATTTCCAAGGATGAAAACTCGCCAATCAAGCACTTCTTGGAAAGCAAAAAACCGATACTGGTAACAATTTGTTGAGAAATAAACTCCCTCCATGTCTCGGGATATAATTCACGACGCTTTATATTCAAATCTAAACAGCCCTGAGATAATAGAAGATGGCCAAAGCATGGAGGTTAGATTAATAATTCCATAATACATACTTTCAAATGGTGGCTAGCCTCAGCATAAAAAATAAAATTATGACATATGACCCAAAAAAAATCTCTACAAAATATGAAATAGATCAGACGAACTTCAATGCTATTAATAAGTAATTAAGAGTGTTTGTGACCAAGTTAAATTTATTGCAATTTGCATTTACATTATATATCAATAAATCATCCAGGAAGTCTGAAACTCAGGAGACAAAAAAGCTTTAAAGTTTATCAGCCATCTCAAGTGCATTGTGGTTGCTACTTGTACAAATTGTAATATATATGTTTTGTTTCATGGGATTTAAAATCTTACCTATCCAGTAAATCCATGAAACAACACAAAAATTAACCACAATGCACATGAGACTCCGGATGCAGAAAATTTACATCTACAATAAGCACAGAAAATTTACATTTACCATAAGCATTAAAAATTCTCTCTCCAAATTCTATCTAACACTAGAGCACAAAAAACAATCCATTAAAACTCATCACAAAACTAATATCAACCAAGGCAGCTGAACCATATAACATCCAAGACAAATTCAAATTCAACTCATTGGAAAATCAATCAATAGAATTCCTAGATTGTCAACCTGGAAGAATCTAAAAAATCAGAAGAAATCCTATAGTCTAAAACTGTTCAAGTACTACGAGCATGTAGAATCCAATACACAAACCCTAACTAACAACAAATCCAAAATCCAAAGGAAAATCACAAAACCTCAAAACAAGCCATTAAAATACATAACCAAAACCAAATTCAACCAATTCAGATTCCAATAACATGAAAAACAATTCAATCGATGACATAATCAGTCAGTCGAATGTGAATCTGAAGAAATTGAGATAAAAAATAGGAAGAACGCAAACGAAATCGAATCGGATCTGAAACGCGGTGAAAGAGACCTGATGAACAAGCAGCATAAGCACCGCCTCGAAGGACGGGAAGAGGTGGAATCCAGAGCTTCTTGTTCCAATACGAAAAACCTAATTCGCTGTGATTTTTCTCTGTTCTGAACGCTTCGTGGCGAGTAAGAAAATGTAAATGAGAATTTAAAGGCGTGCGTTATACCTAATTTATATGGGTTACTTTTATGCCACTGGTATATGCGTTGTGCTACATGCGTTAGTCACCGCCTTTCTTTTTCTTGTCTTCAACTCTAACTATCATGCCAATTCCAACGTCCTATAAATATATTAAGCTAAATATTAATTTTATGAATACATTATTTTACATGTTTTGGAAGCTGATTATTTATGAATTTAATTGATATATAATGATTTTTTATATTATCAGTTAATCATAACCGTTAATTTATTAAAAAAAATTGATTTTAATTTTAACCACTTGTAACGTAATATTAACCGATAATTGTGATGTATTTCCTGTGTAAAAATTTTTATACAGTTAGTGCATAACAGTTAATCTCATTATTTATTTATATTTATTTGGTCAAGTTGAGTGAAATACTAATTTGTTTTCGTATGCATCTATTTTAGTTATTTTTCAAATTAAATTGAAGAGTGATATACATCTCTGAATGCGTAAACAATGCGCTTGAAGATGCATCAACGTAAATATCATTTATTCAAAAGTTAGTAAATGTTTTGGAGATGCATTTCTGTACGTTTTTTGTCTTATAATCAATGCCAGATTACCTTTCCCACTTCCTTCTTGTTCATTTTTTGCATACAAAAAAATATCTTTCTTCTCTCAAGCTTTTGAACTCTCTGTCTCATTCAAGATTTTCTTTGTAGCAAACTTCTATCGTTTGAGCTCTAACTCATCCTTTTCAGCATCTCATAGCTCATACATTCAATTTGATTTGACTTGTTTTAGGTACATTAGACAATAGTGTAAACGATTTTGGTAGGCTATAAGAACGTGCATTGAGGTATTTTCAAACTATTAGGGCATAAATGATGTATATGTCATGGCTGAGACAATCGCAGATTTGTTCGGAGATGCATCTTCGAATTTGGTCTGCATTGTTTTCAAATATATATCTTCGGATTAGACGCGAGCAAAAATTTGGTTGATTTTGTGGAATTTGTGAATTTTTTTCTAACATGCTGTTTATATATGTCTTTGTTTCTAACGCATGTGCAATGGCTAAAAACAACACTGACTGAATTATGCTCAAACGTGTGTCCCAAACTGCGTTTGTACAACGTGAGATGACCGCATCGAGGACCACGGCCATCTCACGTCGTTGTCGATGATCCTTTAGAGATTTACCCAGGAGAAAGTTGTTGTCGATGATCCTTAGAGATTTACCGACGAGGCCCATTTGACACCTTCTTACTTCATTTATATGTCTACCATGTTGCTAAGCATGCATGGGAATGTGAGGTATATTTATTTTCTTTTGAAATTCATATGTTTTAAACTATTTAAATTGATGTATGTGGCGATATTTTATTTTGGCATGAGCCTTATTATTTGAAATCTGTAAATCACGGCAGGAAGATATTGAAGCTGGCACAACCCATTGCTGCTTGGTTCATTAATGTTATCCGCTATTATGGTCTTATCAATTTATGTTCTTTTGCTTACATTACCATAAACCACGGCGTGCATACAGCTTTTGTTGAGATGTGACAGTCAGAGACGCCATTTTTTCACCTTCTTATAAACGAGATTACCATCTCCTTGAATGAAGTCTCTTGCCTCCTGCATCTTCCCATCAGGGGGATATTACTGAACCACGTGAGGATGGGGCGAGAGGAAGTTGTCAATATGATGGTTACCCATTTGGGTGTGAACCCTTGTAAGGTCACCAATGAGGCAGTTGAAACATGAGGTGCTCATGCTAGGTTTAGTTTTTTGGAAAAGCTTTATAAAAACCATTTGCAGGGGCGCTTAGATGCCAAAGGTGATAATGTGTAGGTCGAGTACAATCGGCATTATGCATTAAGGTGTTACCTCTTGTTCCTGGTTGGCACGTCCATTTTATTGAACAAAAGTGTAACCTGTGTCGATTTGGTGTATCTTAGGTACTACTTTGATCTGACTTCGATTCACAAGTATAATTGAGGGTGACCTGTTTGATCTACCTGTACTCGAAGATCGGTAAAGGTTGTCTTTTGAGACAAAGTATATGAGAAGGAGTTGCACACTGCTTACAGTACTTTCTTGTTAATAATATTTTGATAATTCATTTGTTACACTTGTTATTAATATTGTATCTAAACCATTTTCAGGGATGAATCGTTTCTCACTTCCCTCGCATCACCGGGTGGGAAGTTGCACCTTCCTACGATGAGAACTGACCACGTGCAGCCACTTTTGTTCCGTGCATGGGGAATAGTAAGATCAAACCATTCAGAGTGTATCTTGACTTTCATGTACCATGTGACATTCGCTTCTGCCCATACAAAGGTTGTGGGAGGACACACTTGTTTGACATAATTTCCTTGTACTCCGGGTGGCTAGCATGTGGGTCATCTCTTATGTATCCTTATATGACAGAGCGAGTGATGCGCCAGTTTGAATACTTGCATATTATTCTAAGACCTCCCTATGAGTTCTCTCATCCTAGAATCTGTCGCAGAGATCTTGGCGTGATACTGGATAATTTCGATAGTCACTTAGTACCAAAGAAGTATCGCAAAGTGTTAGCTCCTACACACTAGGTTGTTGCTGACAGCTACATGACCTGGTTCTATAAGGTGTCACATTCTATAATGACATCAGACGCTCTTTGAATACCAATTAAATCAGCTAACCAATAGGTACTTGAGGCTCAGGATGACCAGGCCGAGAGCGTGGCGGTCTGTCAGTGTGTTGTAAAGATGGGTAGAGCAGACATAGAGTCGGGAATCTTTGAGGATGATAGTCCCCAGTTATCCCTCGTGGAGAACATGATTGTCGAGTTATAAAATGTCGTGCAATACAATCGGAGGAGGAGAA